TCTGTTTATTGAAAGGCATGTCTCAGTTTCTGGAATTTCTCGCACAATTCTGTGACACAAAGCCCATGATGTCATGACCTGTAAGACACTGACGAAAAACATCATGTCTGATATCATACGTAACTTTGTAATAATCTCACTGTTTACAAGACAACCCTCGTATTTCGATAATTTGATCGGTGGAAACGTTGAATGCGGTTGAACGGTTGATATGAGTTGATTGAAGAAGCCGTTTGGAAATTAAATAATACAATAAAAAATCATACTTTTATGATAGGCTGCTTCAATGCTTTAGAGAAAAAATATCTGCTCATGAAGAAAAGGTTTTCACACTTCTTCAGGCGGGGGTTCTTTTGATTACTCGCTGTCAATGTTTTAAGTTCCCATGATATTTCTCTTCAGTCCTGCTTTTTGCCTGTTTCATTCTTATATTTCATTTTACGTTAGTTCATATGACATTTTAAGTTTTTTGTTTTTCTAAATAAATTATGATTGATTACTATATCAATACAATACATACCACAGTACAAAACCTAGGTATATTTATTTACAACGTTTCAAATGAAGTTATTTAAACCTTGATCAATGACCCCATCGCGTTGAGGTTTTTCGTTCAGTTTCCGTAATCCTTTGAGCAAATGTCCGTTGATTTGCTTCTGAACATAAATGTATCTTTTCTATTAGTGAACGATTTGTAAAGCCCAATGGGTTAGTTATCCAAATAATCATTCTTGTGGGATAGTTATTAAAATAATGTTCTTGCGACATAATAATGTTCTTGCGACAGTAAGTCAATTCCTTCGCTACTGACCACATGTATTGTTAACCCAACTTGTCAATGTGTTAGACTTCCCAGATCTCAAGCGAACGTGCACAGAATGCTCTTGTCCCCGTAGTACATCATACAGACGTTTTAACTTTTTTAACTTCGAATAAATAAGTAAAAAAGACCCAGTGAAATTTCTCAAGCAGTGCACTGAACCGAGATGATTTATATAGCAAACTGAACTTAGAACTTAATGAGAACTTAAAATACAATAATTAGAGAACAAAAACCTAAATTGTCATATGAAAACAACTTAAAATAAAATATAACTAATGGTAACAGGCATAAAAGAGGATCATGGGAACAAATATATTTACAGCGGGAGTTCAAATTCAAAGGGGCCCCACCCTGAAGAAGTTTGAAGTTCCATTCTTCACGAGAAGATGTTTTTTCTCAAAAGCATTGAAGCATCCTTTCATAAAAGTATGATTTTTTATTGCACTATTTAATTTACAAACGGCTTCTTCAATCAACTCATATCAACCGTTCAACCAGCGTCAACGTTTTCCACCGTCTCAAATTATCGAAATACGAAGGTTGTCTTGTGAACAGTGAGATTATCTTCAAAGTAACATTGATATCAGACATGTGATGTTTTTCGATTAGTGTCTTTCAGGTCATGTCTCCATGGGCTTTTGTGTCACAGAATGGTGCGAGAAATTGCAGAAATTGAGACATGGAGATGATGCGTCTTCATAAACGAAAGCTGTCAAATAAGAAAATTCTTCGGAATACGCAAATTATCTCAGTATATTGTGAACCAGAAAACGCGTCAGAGGAAGATTTATTTTTAATTTTTTTTCGGAAGTGGCCTTGATGTGATACTCTGGCCCATGACATCAAAAACTGCTGACGGATATAAAGTCCACATTTCGTCCGGAAGTCGTCTTCTTACAAACCAAATATTACATGCCTACTACAATGCAGTATTTCTTCACAGGTAGTCTAACTATTTATTGAAAAAAAGTTATAACATATATTTCGTTTGCAGGAACTGGGGTTTGTGATGGTGGCACCGGCGGTGGTCTCGTGTTCCCCACGACTGTGGACAATGGATGCACCTTCAAAGGATTAGTCAGCGTTTCCCCACGACGCTGTGGGGCCTCATTTTGTGATCCTACAAAATACACCGTATTTCACCACATTTAGCGACCCTCCGGTATTCCCTTAACTGAAGGTTTCGGGGTGGAGGAAGACTATGTTCGAAGAAGCTCTGTACTTTTCTTAATAATTATTTTTCGTTAGGAACTAACTTTTAGCAAAGAGTAATCATCCACATTGTCACTTTAAGCAACAGTAATATTTTTATAATTTATTTTCAATTACCTCAGGGCTGTGTCCATAGCAACACTGACCAGGAAGTTCTACGGTTCAACTTCCAAAGGAGGTGGTTTTTAGAACTAGCTAATGTAAGTCAGCTGAAGGACAATTCTAGCGGCCGGTAGATCTGATCGGTAGTTCTCTCCAGTCGAATTATAGAGCAATACCTTAACAATAAGCAATTTTTTCTTTCTTTTCTTTGCCCTATGCAATTACACACGTACACACACATGCAATATACTAGAACACATGTGGGAAAACTCGACCAAAACTTTGAGCTTGTCCTTGCTGGCACTAAGCCTCGCTGCACAAGATACCTGGAGAACGTATTCCCCCACCACCCGACGAGCAGCCGGCGTTGTTCCGACCGATTTAGTACTATGGTCGGCGCAGAAAACACAGAATCGGGAAAGTTGCTGTAGCTTGACCTGGTGCTCAACTTTTCCTCTGCCGTCCCGACGTGCCAGCTACGGCTTTGTCATAAGAACGGGTGGTCCCAGTCACGGGTTGAGAAATAAAATAAATATATGTACATTCATGCCTTATGAACTCTAATTCGTGAAAAATTGTATTTGCAGGTGGCGATATATGGAAAATGGTTGAAATCGGTATTGTTATCTGCAGGAGTACTCCTAAATTTTTGAACCCTATTTCACACATTTCCACGCAGAGATGGAAAAAGATGGGTGCGCCTCATATCGGGGCTTTCTTTCCGAAGAAGGACCCAACTACGCCAACCCATCTACCCACTGTACACTACCTAACAAGAGGACCGCATTCACCAAAACGGCGCACATCGTGGTCTGGACAAATCTGGGCATTCCCTAGAGATGAGAATGTTTTATTTGCTTTTCAAAACGTTAAGAAACCTATAAATAGAGCTCTGAATTAGGACGAAAAATTTAAATTTTTGTGTGCTTAAAAAGTGAAACTTATGTGTTACAACGATGAAAATATTTATTTATGACTCAAATGAAAGGCAGAAACCAATATCGCGAAATGTTGCAATGTAAGACGTGAAAACGTCCCCTTTGTCAACCTGCACATTTGGTCAGTGCAATCTGAGGAACTTTAGGAGCTGCTCGTGTTATAAGTGTATGTTATCGCTCAGAAATGAT